GTACATATTTTAGGCAGAAAAGCACAGGACCTTTCTTTTTTAGAATTCCACTCTGATTTTTCTTCTCATTTTTTTCCCTGTGCCACTGACCCCAGTAAAGCTAGGGAAAGAAAATGTGATAATTCCAGCCTGGGGCAGGTGAAAGGACAGGATAGCAACAAATAACAGGTAACGATGAATAACAATGTATTGATAGTCTTTACAGTTTGCAAAGCATTTGCATATCCATTATCTCATTAGCTCCTCATAGCTGTCTGCAGGGAAATGCACCACAGACGTTATGCTTATCCTGGTCTGCAGACAAGGAGCTGCAGGTCTGCGCTGGATGCTGTTGGGCGTCATCCAGACTCCTCGTCAGGGAGGGGAAACTCACTCCCTGGCTGTCCAGTGCCTGCCGCAAACAACCACAACTAGGTCCCTCACTGGGAATTCCCTCCGCTGGAAGAAGCTGCCTTACCCAAGGTTATCTCCCCGCCGCGCCCTGCCTTGATCCAGACAACTCTACAGGGCATCCCAGCTGCAGAAAACCCTGTAGGATCAGCTGAGAACCCTGTAGCAACTGCATCAGAGGGCAGCTTCTCTCCCTGCCCAATTCTACTTTCCTCCCTCGCTCCCGCTGCGGGTTGCTCTTGAGAGCTCTCCCCATTAATCTTCTTGCATGCAAGTCCCCATCTGAAAGTCTTTTCCAGGGAACCCCACTGTATTGGCCCGTTCAGGCTACCACAGCAAAGTACAACAGACTGGTGACTTAAACGATATAAATTCATTTTCTCACAGTTCTGGAGGCCAGAAGTCAGAGATCACAATGTCCTCTGGGACTCTCTCCTTGGCTGTTTTCTCTGTCTTCACATGGTCTTTGCTCTGTGCGCATGTATCTTCTTCAATCTTCTTAGAAGAATACAAGTCATATTAGATTAGAGCCCTCCCTAATAACCTCATTTTAACTTAATTACCTCTTTAAACACTCCATATCCAAATACAATTACTTTCTGAGGTACCTGGAGTTCAACTTATGAGTTTTGGGTGGTCACAGTTTAGCCCATGGTACCTACCTAATACAACGTTAAAGAGATTGAATAGCCTGCCCAAAATAAAGCATTGTCCCCATATTTAACAAGTTATAAAATATCTTACAGCCGAAGGGGTCTCGCCGATCTTCTGCCACTTTACCTTATGTAATGGAATGGGCAGGTATCACTGCCAGGAAATCAAGAATTCGGATCCAGAGTTTCGGTGCTCTGTTCACTATTCCGTGGTCTACCACAATTGGGAATCTGACTCATTCTATTCTGCTAAATCATTGCCAGCACTCACAAACACACACGGTAGTGGACAGTTTAATAATATAATTGTTAACTGATGTTATTAAAGATCATAAAATGACAAAATTAAGGACACACAAAAAAAATCACCTGGAGTCTACTATTGGTGAAGCAATAATACAGGGTGCAAAAGAATAACAGAATACACAGGTCTGGGTCTCTGGGATAAAGACTAGATCCTAAATATTTTAACTAATCAGAAAAATACAGAGCTGTATGGTCCCAAGTGGGGAATATTTCATACAATGGTGATCTGACAAGTTTCAAAAATTTTTTCATGTGTAATGATGTGATTGTTAAACACTAGCTACGCATTGCTGGATATGTGATTTCCTTGTCTCCTGACAAATCCACATGGATGAAAGCTAGCTGGAGGAGATTGGGGAAAGAAAGAATCTTATTTTAAATTGAAAGTAGTTTTGCCTTGAAAACAGTATGCTGTAAACTTAACTTTAGATTCTCCACTCCTCCCTCCTGTGTCCTATGCAAGTGCTTTCATTTCATTGGTCCTCATTTTTTTCTTATCTGTAAAATGGAAATAACAATTTTTTTGGTTGTAGAATTATTGTAAAGATTAAACAGATTTATTTTTTAAACGTAAAGCACCCTACACAGTGCGGGTGTATAGCAGGAACTCCATAAGTGTTAGTTTTCTGGCTCATTAAGAGGAAACCTCTCCTGCTAATCAATGCATTGCTACGACTACCAACAAATTGGGAGAAAGACCTTCAATACCATCCCCAAATCTACTCCTTATGCATAGGGGAGGTGGATATTCTCTTTCAACTTCAGGATTGCTGGAGGAGGCCTCCGCATCACTGCACTGAGCCCTGCAGTAACCGTGTTACCTGATCTTTCAGAGTCTCCAGGACACTGGCAGTTCTAAAGGGTTAATGCATGCAGTGGATAAGGAGAATAAACCAAATGAGAGAGAGAGAGAGAAAGAAAGAGAGAGAGAGAGAGCACGAGAGCGAGCACTACACAGATGGGTCTTTTTTTTTTTTAACTTTTATTTTTGGTTCAGGAGTGTATGTGCAAGTTTGTTACATGGGTAAACTTGTGTCATGGGTGTTTGCTGTACAGATTATTTCATCACCCAAGTACTAAGCCTAGTACCCAACAGTTATATCTTCTGATCCTCACCTTTCTCCCACCCTCCACCCTCAAATAGGCCCCAGTGTCTGTTGCTCCCCTCTTTGTGTCCATGTGTTCTCATCATTTAGCTCCCACTTATAAGTGAGAACATGAGGTGTTTGGTTTTCTGCTCCTGAGTTAGTTTACTAAGGATACTAGCCACCAGCTCCATTCTTATTTCTGCAAAGCACATGATCTGGTTCTTTTTTAAGGCAGCATAGTATTCCACGATATATATGTATCACATTTTCTTTATTTGATCTGCCACTGAGGGGCATTTAGATTGATTCCGTGTCTTTGCTATTATGAATAGCTCTGCAATAAATGTGTGCATGTGTCTTTATAATAGAAGAATTTATATTCCTTTGGGTATATACCCAGTAATGGGATTGCTGGGTCAAATGGTAGTTTTGTTTTTAGCCCTTTAAGGAATTGCCATACTACTTTCTGCAATGGTTGAACTAATTTACACTCCCACTAACAGTGTATAAGCATTCCCTTCTCTCCACAACCACACCAGCATCTGTTAGTTTTTGACTTTGTAATAGTTGCCATTCTGACTGGCGTGAGATGGTATCTCACTGTGGTTTTGATATGTATTTCTCTAATGATCAGAGATACTGAGCTTTTTTTCATCTGCTTGTTGGCCACATGTATGTCTTCTTTTGAAAAGTGTGTTCTCATGTCTTTTGCCCACTTTTTAATGGGGTTGTTTGCTCTTTTTCTTGTAAATTTAGGTTCCTTATAGATGCTGGATATTAGACCTTTGTCAGATGTATAGTTTTCAAATATTTTCTTCCATTCTGTAGGTCATTGTTTACTCTGTTGATAGTTTCTCTTGCTGTGAAGAAGCTCTTAAGTTTAATTAGAGCCTAGCTGCTAAACAACTTCAGCAAAGTTTCATGATACAAAATCAATGTATAAAAATTACTGGTAGTTCTATACATCAACAACAGCCAAGCTGAGAGCCAAATCAGGAATGCAATTCCATTCACAATAAGAAGAATAAAACACCTGGGAATACAGCTAAACAGGGAGGTGAAAGATCTCTACAATGAGAATTATAAAACACTTCTCAAAGGAATCAGAAATGATACAAACAAATGGAAAAACATTCCATGCTCATGGAGAGAGAGAATCAATATCATTAAAATGGCCATACTGTCCAAAGCAATTTACAGATTCAATGCCATTCCTATCAAATGATCAATGATATTCTTCACAGAACTAGAAAGAAAAACTATTTTAAAATTCATATGGAATCAAAAAAGAGCCCAAATAGCCAAGGCAATCATATGCAAAAAGAACAAAGCTGGAGGCATCATGTCAAACTGTACTGCCGGGCTACAGTAATCACAACTGCATGGTACTTGTACAAAAAGAGATACATAGACCAATGAAGCCGAATAGAGAGCCCAGAAATAAGCCTGCACACCTGCAATCATCTGACCTTCGACAAAACTGACAAAAACAAGCAATGGGCAAAGGACTCCTTATTCAATGACAATACATATGTCCTAGCTAGTGCTGGGACAACTAGCTAGCCATATGTAGAAGATTGTATATACACCATATACAAAAATCAATCCAAGATGAATTGAAGACTTAAATATAAAACCCCAAATTATAAAAACCCTGGAAGACAACCTAAGCAATACCATTCTGGACATAGGAACTGGCAAAGATTTCATGATGAAGACACCAAAAGCAATAATAACAAAGGCAAAAACTAACAAATGGGATCTAATTAAATTTTTTTCTCTGTTTATTCTGTTTTCAAATACTCTTTATAGAGCATGTTGCCCAATTCAAAAAGATACATAGAAGAGGGTGAGAGGATTTGACACTTTGGTGAACATCCTTCCATGGCTTTGTGCTAAAATACATAAGTAAATGACTTTTAAAAAAGGGTTTTACACTATGTGCTGGTTTGAAAGCTGCATTCTTTTTCACTCGATAAGTCATTGTGCTTATTCATCATATCAATGAATATAGACAGTCTTTAATAGCTGCCAAATATCCCATTGTATGTTTCAGAATTTATCTAATCCCATATTGCTGAACATTTACTTTCCATTTATTTGCTAACAATTATAATAAAATATTTTGTTAAGCAACTTTGTATGTACATTTTCTCAAACTTGTCCAATTGTCTTTAGGATACGTTTTTAGACTAGGATTTCTTGATCAAGGGACATCGCCTTTATAAAAGTGGTTAACAATTTAGGTTCCCACCTCAAGTGTTAGGGAAATCCCAAATTCCAGCTGTCTCACTTCAAGTTCATCATGATAAAACTCAAATGGAATCTGAACACTGCAACCATATTATACATCTCCACATGATTTGCTTTCCTACTCTTTTAAGATAATTCTAAATCTTTTCATTATGCCTTAACCCCTTGCACCACATCCCCGTCTTATATGCTCAGCTGATGTCCTGGTTTCATACTTGGAAAAAAAAAAAAAAAAGGCATAGAGCACACCAGAATCAACACACCCCTCCCACCCCCACATACACACATGTTGGAACCCATTTTTCTCTACCTTCCTCCTTCACTGTGGCAGAGTCTACGTGGCCGGCACTGTTCAGCATCTTACTTGAACCACATTTACCCAACAACTCAAGGATTTCTCTCCTTCTCAGGAACTGACCCATAAGATCAATACCAAAACTTGACAAAGATAGCCTGAAAAGAAAAACAGATATAGATCAACGTCATATCACTCATCCATTCTTTCAGTACACATTTATTGAATACCTACTACATGCCAGGCACTAAGGGAAGAGAATGGTGAATGAGGTAAACTAGGTCTCTATCCAGGAAGAATTTATAATCTAGTGGTAGACACAGATATAAACTCACCAAAAAACAAGATAAGCAGATTGCTTGTGATGAACGCCGGAGAGACTGACTGGATAAACAGCAATGGGGTGGATCCAGAGCACTGCCCTAGAAAGGAAGGTCAGGGAATGATGCTCCGAGAGGAGATAGATGAAGAAAGCAGCCATCTGAAAGTTCTTCAGGGAAGAACTTTCCAGGCAAAAAAAAAAAAAGTCAAGCCCAGAAATCACTCTGACATTGGAGGCACAGCCAGGAGACCAGGGTGCCTGGAGAGCAGGGCATGAAAAAGGGAGGAAGGGTATAGATTGTGTGTGTAATAGGAAGGGGGCCGGACTTTATTGCAAATTAATTGAGAACACGTTAAAGATTTTCAAGCAACATGTTTGAAATTTCATTTTTAAAAGATCTCTTGAGCTAACCTGTGGAGATTGAACTTTACAGAAACCCAAACAAAATAGCTGGAGAATAGCCTCACTTTTTATATATTAAATCACATAAAACCCTAATAATGCAATGATGGTTTTAAAAAAAATACACCCCAGAGGTATATATCATAGAGTGTAAAATTCCACATTCAAAGCAGAGGTGAATTACTTGTCAGGATCCCTTAGTGCTGAAACTGCATGTGAAACTTTCTTTTTCCTCCCTCCCTCCCTCCCTCCCTCCCTTCCTTCCTTCCTTCCTTCCTTCCTTCCCCTTCTCCTTTTCTTTCTCTTTCTTTCTTTCTCTCTCTCTCTTTCTTTCTTTCTTTTTCTTTCTTTCTCCTTCCTTCCTTCCTTCCTTCCTTTCTTCTTTCTTTCTTTCTTTCTTTCTTTCTTTCTTTCTTTCTTTCTTT